ACGGTGATAAAAAGACACTTTCAGCAAAGAAACCTTTTATTAATATGTTTCACCACTGGAAGCTTTACTAAGTACAACTGATACATAAAGCATAGTGGGGAGGCGAGATGCTGCCAGGTCAGGTTAAGTGTTGGTACACAAGTGCCATCAAGAAATTATTATAATCAAATTAAGTGCTAAACACGTAAGGGTAACATCATTGTGGAGAGGAATTTGCAAAAGCAAAATTGTGCAAAAGGTCAAGAATGAGCAACAGGTTGGGGTGTGTAAAGTTATGGGTTAGTAGAAGGTGGAGGCTAGTGCAAGCAAAATTCAAATCTAAGTTGGTGCAACAGGCTAGTTTCAGTTAAAAAGTCAAGAGTGAGTTAGCATTAAAAGTGGGACTTTCAACAAGGTCTGTGACAGCAAGTGCTGAGGCGAGTTAGACATCGAAAGTGAATCCTACATGCACTCTCTGATAGGCAGGACACGCTATTAATAAATGTTGGATGGACAATGTAACTTGGCAGTTATCACAGAATGGTGCTGGTTGTTTCTCAATTTTTTATTACTGTGAATCGTGTGTATACAATACAATATGTAAGTGCAAAAATGTGGGAAAGATCAGGTACCTTTACAGGTGAGGTCAAGCAATGCCAGGATGAGGTGAGATTGGAGGGTCAGGTTGTGGTATGCTTATTTAATGTTTTAATCAAGAGCATGGTAATAGGTCTATACAAAATATACAGTCCTTTGTGTTGTTCTGTGTGAGGTGGATTGTGGCGAGTCTTGTTATTTTTTTTGTAAATAAGATGTGCCTGTTCCCAGTCAGATGTGAATGCCTGTTGCATGCATATTTGTGTTCTTTAAATCTAGTATCTATATCCCTTGCTGTCTCATCTACATTAAAGCATTCACAACCACTGCAATGTATACTGCAGACCCCCATTGTGCTTGTGTTCTTCTTGGGGTGAGTGTTTTTAAGTGAATACAGTACTTCAGTGGCTTTGGTGAAGAATACAGCAATGTTCATGTCAGCTTTCTGAAGAGGGGGGGTTATGGCTACTGCCATAGGTACAGTGAGAAATATCCATCTTTGGCCTTCTAGCCCAACACCTATCCGAGTTATTGGGTACCATTAATCCCTTACACCTTAAACATTCAGAAGACCTTTCTCTCTCTCTCTACTTAATGATATCATCATAAAATACAAGAAAATAATCAGTGCTGATGTAACCTCATTATTAATTTGAGTTCCTATTGACCAAGTAACAATTTCTCCAGAATGCCAACCATGCAAATTTTGACTTTCTTCTGCTGACACAGAATTCCCTTAATGTTCTCAAATTGTGTGCCACTTTACCTATCCTTCTTTAAAGAAGACCTAAACCAGCAGAAATTCAGCAGGGCAATGGGTTCTGCAGTGAGGTCTTAGCCAACATTTACTTAGAGCACCTTGAAAGGGAGTGGTTTAAGGATATTATTCTTCACTATATTTCCTAGCTGAGATGTGTCCATGACTCCTTGGTCAGTCGTAGATGCTTCAACCTTAGTAACTTCGAAGATCAACTCCATTAAGTTGAGCCCTCAATTCAATTCACTTTGCAAGTCAAGGACGACAACTCTCTACCCCCCTTTTATGGACATCCTTCCCATCAAGAGTGATCATTTCAAATTCATAGTCTATAGAAAGCCTATTAACAAAGATGACTTGATTCATTTCCTCTCACACCACAAACTCATAACTAAACAAGGATTAATTTCCAGGCCTTTGTTTAAGTACCCTCCAGATCTGCAGCAGTGAATTCTTCTGCACATCATTCACTCCAGCAAAAGCAAAGCCTCCAATATTCTCTCCATACCCAATGGAAACAACCATCAAGTAACAATTAACACTTCCCACTATGCTCTTGCAGTAACCATATCACCCTTCTCCAGAAAGTCAGCATAAACATCATTGTACCCTCCACCAAAACACTCAAATTATGTATTCATTAAAACACCTCAACTCAACAAAAACACAGCAGAGGGAGTCTACAACATACTTTGCAGCAGTTATGATAACTTATGTAAGTGAGACAGCAAGGGGTTTAGATACTAGATTTTTAGAGCACAAATACACAAACAAAATGCATGAAAGATGTGAGGCAGGTATGTATAATGCACAGCAGTATATATTCACATGACTGAATACACAAGTACATCTTATTTACAAAGAAAACAACATGACTAAATATAGATGTCTTGAGGCTGCCACTCGACACCTCACCAACCAGAACAAAACTGAGTGATGCACATCCTGTTTAAATCCTATGCACAGATATTCTTGGAACAATATATTAAACACAAAATACCACAACCTGAACCTTTAACCTCAATTATAACAACATCTGACCTCTCCCAACAAAACCCGACCCTTCCCTGCAGTGCCTGACCTGACTTGACAGCATCTCACCTCCCCAAATGCTTCACATGACACTGTTTTTATCTATTCCACGTGCTTGATAAAGCACCCATTTTGTGAAGGTTTCTTTGCTAAAAGTGTCATACCATATTATTTCTTGGGAAGATTTGACTTCATACCAATGTTTGCATTTTCCTTGTACACAGGCAGTCTCTCATTCACTGTAATAGTTTTCCTTTTATTCCTCCTATGTTTTACATTTAAAGATCAGTCTTTCATAAGGAACTCCATCAAGAGCTTCCTTGAAATCCACATACAGTAATGCACATTAACTGCAACCTGCCAATCCAATTCATTCTTGAATAAATTGTTTACCTTGCACATGCTCTGTCATAGTTTTACCTTTATTCCCCCCCCCCCCAATTTCCTAATTTCCAAATCAATCTCACACAAGAAAATCCATCAAGAGCTTTTTTGAAAATAAAATAAAATATTGTCCAGGAATTGCAATCTGCCAATCCATTTCATTCTTGAATAGTTTATGCTTACTGTGTGAATGTCCAGAGGTAACATGCCTACAAAAACTTCAATGAGCACTTGGGCAATAGACATAAGCCATGATGTTTATTAAAAACATCCACCTGGTGTTAAAAGACCTACTTCAAGAAACAATGGGTTTGTCCTAGCACCATGTTTACCTGTGATAAAAGCCCTTCTCAGTCTCTATGAAATCTCAAAGAGAGAGCATTATGATCATGACTGTCATCTTAGTGGCCTAAAGGGGTCGCTTGTATAAGAGACTCCTCCCGTAGCTACCTATAGGTGCTGAGTAAAAGCTACAGAATTACATGCATAGTTTTGACATACCTGAAGTAGGCCAAAACTATGCAGTTAAGTCTGTACTACAGTCCTGACAGTAGTTGTAGTCCAACTAATCTGGACTCTTGAATTGGATATCTGAGTATGAACCGAGATGAAAGCTTTTCCTGATCATGCACAGGCAGATCAATGACTAGAAAACAAGGATGTGTAACCTAAGGATGCAAACTTCTGCTATTCGAACTTAGTCACTGAAGTGAGGAACATAGTAGTGAAACCAAGAACTTCTGCCACACAGAGCCATTGCAACTGTAGCTAATGCCAACTTGAACCAGACTGGAATAATGCAACTAGATCAATTGAAGCTAACATCACAGAGTTGTTTATGGAGGTTGAAATACAGCTCCCAATCCTGCTGCCTCATGGGTAGAATTAAATAACATCTGCTGTTACTCTTTGTATTCTATCAGCATAACCTCTGATCCACTCAAGTACTTTCTCCAGCTTCTGGATTAACCCTGATGTTCTTGTTTTATCTCTAACTCTTGTTACAGAATGCAGATTATTAGGCATGATTTTCTATCACTGAATTCACACTGGTTTTCTTCAATAAAACCTTCAGTCTCAAGGTGCTGTGCCAGTTTGCTCCTTACAATATTCTCCAAAGTTTTTGGAATTATAAGTAAGTGAAATACTTACACATTTTGTGTAACTAATCTTTCAAAACTAATTTTTTAACCTGTCTACTGGTTATTTCATCTATGCCTAGGGATTTCACTAATTTAACTTCAATATGGTTATTCTAGCTTTTTTTCTGTTTTAGCAAGCACTTGATAGTACGTACTATGTATCCAGGACACTGACAACTCCAATTCAAACAATTTTTTTTAACCAATCACGAATACGTCAAGAATACGTCAAGTAACAAATGCCCTACCATTAAAAAGAGGAAATAAAGTATGTCCTCATCATTATCAGCAATTTATATTTTATGCCAGTAATAAGATTTTCAAAGAAAGAATTTGATTTTCAAAGAAATAATTTGCATAACTAAACACCTTCATTTCTTTCATGTTTTTAAAATGTGCTACGAATAAGAAGTTTTATGTAATGTACATCTATCAAGAATATTTAAAACAAAAACTTATGACACTAAAAAAAAAAATGAGTTAAGATGGCTTCATAATTAGATATCTTAACACAAAAGTGTCATAAACAGAAAGGTGCAAGCATAGCTAGATGCAAGTGTAGCTCAAGAAGGGTCAGTCATTTGACCAGTTCTGTTCTTGATTTACACTAATAATAATGATGATAGTAGGTTAAACCATACAGCACACCTAATCAGCTGGGGACCAATAAGTTATTTTCTTTGTAATAAATATTATACATTTCCTATTAGTGTAATACAAATACAAGAAGAAAACTGAAGCACTACTAGAAACTTGAACTAAACTAAAAAAAAAAAAATCAAACATTTGAAAAAGACAGTAAATCTTAATGTTATATATGAAAAGAAGGACAAACTATCTACACTACAGAATAAACAGTAATTGACTTCTCTAAGGCCATTCAAGGCAAGAGGATGAGGAGACTCATCTCTAAGTAAATTTATAACAGGATTTTATTAACAATGTAAAAAAAAAAGGGCATTTTCATACGTATGTGTTGTCCAACATTGATACACTCTTTTAACCAGATTGCCTTAAATGTGAGAAGCAATCATTTGAAAGAAGTTTAATGAAGTCCTGCCCTACTCCTGTCTGCTGGCTAGGAACAGGTCAGTTTGTAGTTCACGCACCTCAAGTTGTATGATGGAAGACTGATTTTCAACTGCAACTCCTAGTGGATTGTTGAAAAACATTAGTTAATTTTCTAGCAATTCAAATTCATGAAATCAGTTAAAATTTTTTAATTACAGATTCTACATTAGATGAATTTTTTTTTATTAAACTTACACAAGCATGAATTACCAATAATGTACAGTATTATGGAAAATTTTGGATAACAAACATTACAGTTACTTATTTTCTAAAATTACAGTGGTGTGCATATTAATCGAGACAGGAGTAAATTTTGTGATTATCTCATAATATATCTTAGTCTCCAGCTTAATTTATGTAGTTTGGGTTCTTTTCTTTTCAGAAGAGTTTCTACCAACTTCTGGCAAGCATCCAGCTGTGGTGTTACCCTGCAAATCTCATCAGTGCTACAATAGCTGTTGTCCTCTAAGGCTATTCCTGCAAGCATGCTCTGTAAATGAATGTGGTTTTTGCCAAATTCTCCCCTTCAATTCATGATTACTGCTGAAATTCATAATGGATGTTACACCTAGAAAGCATGCAAGTACTGTAGCTCTTAGAAAACATGCTGATTTGAGTGTCAGACAGATCGCCGAAAATTTGAGCCAGCAAAGGTCATCTGTTGGTCAAACCCTGAAGAGAGCTGACAGCACTGGTGATTGTGGAGTGGTGCATCGAGGAAGATGTGGAAGAAAACACAAGACAACACCTCATGATGACAAGGTTATCATAAGAGAGATTTGGCTACAGCTGGCGTAAATGTTGAATTTTCAACTGTTTAACGAAGGCTCCTTTAAGTTGGCAGAATTGCCAAAAAGGCGGTAAAGAAACACCTATTGACTGCTGCTATGAAGAAAAAATGGCTGCAGTGGGCACTTGATCACAACAGATGGATGACAGATTACCAGATAAATGGAGAAAAATTATATTTTCAGACGAGGCACATTCTGAAGTACAGTGGACCCTCGGTTTTCAAGCGTCCCGGAAATCGAGTAATTCGGATTTAGAGACCCTTTTTCAGCAAAATTTTGTCCCAGATTTCGAGCATCCACTTGGAAATCAAGTGTTTGAGACACGTCCACCCCGTCGGCAAGGCCACTTCGTCACACATATCACACTCATTCTGCATCTGTCTGTCAATGAGTAAGGAATACTTTGCGCATTCATCCATTCATTTTGGTGCTCTTAATTGATTGTGACTGTGAAATAAGCCACCATAGGGCCAAAGAAAGTTCAGAGTGCCAGCTCTTCGGTAAAGAAAGTGAGAAACGTGAGGGGGATTCCCCTTCCAAACAATAAATCCTCCCTCTCTCCTCCTCCCTGTCTTCCATATGCCAACAAGAGTCTTCAATACAGGTATGTAATGTTTATACTATTTATTTATAATTGTTTTGTGTATGTAAAACTATAGTTAATCTTTAAAAAATTAATTTTCTGTGAATATTTTTGGGTGTCTGGAATGGATTAATTGGATTTACATTATTTCTTATGGGAAATGTTAGTTCAGTTTTCGAGCATTTCGGATTTAGAGCAACCTTTTGGAACAGATTAAGCTCGAAAACTGAGGGTCCACTGTACATGGGTTCAGACCAGTGGAAGGGAGATGGAGCAAAGGCAAACCTCTTCAGAGTGGACACACTCAGCAAGCACCAAAACACCCAACTAAGATGTTTTAGTGTAGCTTTACTGCTGAAGGACCTGGATGGCTTGTTATTGTTGAAGGAATCATCAACAGTAACAAATAGAAGGCAAATCTGGCAACTCATTTGCTTCCCATTGTAGATAGTGATTTTCTTGATGGAGAAGGCATTTTCCAGTAGGAAATTGCTGCATGCTACACTTTCAAAAAATGCTGACAGAGTGGGCCAAGCATTCTAAATTGGCCTGGAAACTCTCCTAACCTCAACCCAATTGAGAATCTATGGGCAATAACCAAATGCAGGATTGCAAAACAGGACTGTTCAACTGTAGAGAAGCTAACTGCTGCTGTTACTAGGATCTGTTACCACAACAAAGAAGTTGCCAAAATGTGTTCAACACTGGTTTATTCTATGCCAAAGCATGTGGCAATGCTTATAAAAGCAAAAGGTAGTCATATTTTTTTTTTTTTCAACAAGTCGGCCGTCTCCCACCGAGGCAGGGTGACCCAAAAAAGAAAGAAAATCCCCAAAAAGAAAATACTTTCATCATCATTCAACACTTTCACCACACTCACACATTATCACTGCTTTTGCAGAGGTGCTCAGAATACAACAGTTTAGAAGCATATACGTATAAAGATACACAACATATCCCTCCAAACTGCCAATATCCCAAACCCCTCCTTTATTTAATCCCTCTTTATTTAATCAATTTTCTGTCCTATCAGTCGTATATTTTTCAAATAAGCATAAATTTTCAAAATATGTCTTATTTCATCATTGTCCTAATTAATATGCACGCTACTGCATTTTTTCATAACAGAAACATGGGCTGCAGCTTAAGGGGAATGTCTGGAAATCAAAGAGCTAAAAAGTTATTGATTAATTTCATTTAGAATTTTCTTAAGTGACATGCTTTATGTGCCTTGTTGTAACATTGCACTGTATATGAAGCTATAATATACTATGCAGTGTGTATTATTGTATACGGAAAAGGGTCCAATGAAAGTGTCTGGTCATCGCTCACTAGTTCAGTTACTACTTACCCGAAGGGCTGAAGGACAACTTACTGACTGATCTGGCTGACAAGCAAAACCTTTTCCTGTTATACTGTCCGTAGTATGTTATAAAGTAACCTAGAATACATTTTTTTATTTCATTCTAATTTTTTAAATACGGTACTAATGCTCATAAGTCTTCCACATTTTGGGATAAAATAAATGTATCTTACCCTCATTCAATTCCAATATTTTTTTTTTTCAGCACATCAGCCATCTCTCACCAAGGCAGGGCAACGCAAAAAACATTCTAATTTTTTAAATACGGTACTAATGCTCGTAAGTCTTCCACATTTTGGCATAAAATAAATGTATCTTACCCTCACTCAATTCCAATGTATTCTTTTTTTTTTTTTCAACACATCAGCCATCTCTCACCAAGGCAGGGCAACCCAAAAAAGATGAAATACTGTACTTCTTATATTCAGTAATTTATACAAGAGAAGGGGAGATTCCAAGATATATATAAGTATTTGTAAAAAAATATTTATCATACGTCTAGGTAGTAGGTTGGTAGACAGCAACCGCCCAGGGAGGTACTACCGTCCTGCCAAGTGAGTGTAAAACGAAAGCCTGTGATTGTTTTGCATGATGGTAGGATTGCTGGTGTCTTTTGTCTGTCTCATAAACACGCAAGATTTCAGGTATGTCTTGCTACTTCTACTTACACTTAGGTCACACTACACAAACATGTACAAGCATATATATACACACCCCTCTTGGTTTTCTGCTATTTTCTTTCTAGTTCTTGTTCTTGTTTATTTCCTCTTACCTCCATGGGGAAGTGGAACAGAATTCTTCCTCCGTAAGCCATGCGTGTTGTAAGAGGCAACTAAAATGCCAGGGGCAAGGGGCTAGTAACCCCTTCTCCTGTATATATTACTAAATGTAAAAGGAGAAACTTTCGTTTTTCCTTTTGGGCCACCCTGCCTTGGTGGGATACGGCCGATGTGTTGAAAGAAAGAAAGAAGATTTATCATACGTCTATCAGCGACCAGGAAATAAAATACCGTGAACAGATGTCCTACCTCGGTGGAAGATAGCCAATGTGTTCAAAGAATATATGTAAATGTCCTTGATCCCCAGAAAAATTCATAAGGTATCACTTACATTCAGTAAATTCTTATGTCTGCCATATGTACAACAATGATTGTTGAATTAATTAACACTGTAAACATCATTCCTGATTTTTTCTAAACATATTTGGTGAAAGTGTTGAATGATTACAAATGTTTTTTCTTTCTTTTTGGGTCACCCTGCTTTGGTGCATGACAGCTGATGTGTTAAAAAAAAAAATAAGACATATATTCTACTGTATAGCCTGCTATACAGTAGAATATACATGTATGTCTTAATACTGCTACACAGTAGAAAAAAAACTCAATGAAAGCAAGTCAATTATAGAGCAAAATTACTAATATAAAAAAATTAGCAAGGCCTAAGTTGACTTATCATGTCATAACTTAGTTTACTGAATTAGTAAGTGGTATATGATTTTTACTTTTCAACGATGTAGGGTAACTTGCATCAGAAAAAAAAAAAGCAAGCTGTTACCCAAACTCTACAGAACTAAAGAAAAAAATACAAAATCAATTTGGAATAGTGTACTAGTGGCTAATAATTTGAAGCCAATGAGACAGTGTACCGAGGAAGTAAAAAAGTATAAACTTATTTTCAGGTTTTATCGACTGATCATCAATATTCAGATTGTAAAAGTCTTCCTACTGCTGTACAACGTCTTATTATGTTCTACCCTACAATTCTGCGTAAGTCTGATTCCCATATCTAAGAAAGAATATACACACTATGAAGTCAACAGCAAGTATTCCTCATTTAATGAAATCTCATTTACTGAAATTTACACTAATGAATGTGATGCAATGAATCAAATACTTGTCCAGCAAATACAAGATTATATCATTAACTCAACTGGTTTCATGTGCAGAGCTGTTTGAACAAGGGGGAATTGAGGTGCCTTGGCTTATGCACAAGCATGAGTTTCTAAAAGTTCACCAAGTGAAAAGGCCAAGCAGTGGTGCTTCTGTCAAATAGGTAGACAATCTTGACCCCCTCCCCTTCCATACCCATTAACACCAAAATTCCATCAAATTTCTCCAAGCAACAACATGCAGGTGTTAATGTATATTATTACAGTAGATAAATACAGTATACATTATGCTTTCGTTAACTTCCCTATGTCCTTATGTGCAATCCCAGTAGAATATACAATATCTCAATTTAAATACAGTAATGCAATGGTACCAAGGCATAAAATTTTTCATGTAACAAAGATAAACATGAATGGGTTTCCTAGAAAGGCAACCCATTCATTAAATGAAGACTGCCCATGAATGAACCCGGTTACAAAATCTAAATTTACTTCATCATATCACAGACAATAAGAAACATTTATCTGTTTAAAATTATCAAAGATCATGAAAATCTTGATACAATCAAACATCACTCAGTCAGATATAATGCATAACAATAATTTTTAAAATTACAATACATATAAAGGCAAATGATATTATTCAAAACTACATACTGTATATCATTTTTGATACTGGTAAATATTGTGTAGCAAAATATATTACTGTAGTAGAAGCAAGAGAGATTACTACCACAAATATGTTTAAAAACAAGGATGAACAAATACCTCTCTTCAAATCCACATCTTTCAATGTTTGCGTCGTCAAAAGTCTTCGACTTAATAAACAGCTTCGTTTGGACCCAATGGTCTGTTGTTTCGTATCCTTTGTATTCCTTTGTATCTATGAGGTAGAAAGTAGAGTATATACAAGAAAAGTTTCAAGAAGCAAAAGAAAGAAATAGAACAGGCTAGAAATGCATATTAAGATCAGGCTACCTCAAAACTTTATTACAATACATACTATTGTTAACCTCACAAAGGCAATTACATTTATGAAACACTATTATATAAGTTTACCACAATGAAAAAGAAATAATGGCCAGTTTTTTTATTTGTGAAGTTAACAATATGTACTACTGTTAACCTCACAAAGGCAATTCCATTTATGAAACTATTAAACAAGTTTACCACAATGAAAAAGAAATAATGGCCAGAGCTCATTTTTTATTAATCTACTGAATTCCCAATGCAAGTGAGTTATCAAGAATGCATCTAAAACTTCTTTTTCACTGTGTTTTCTTTCTTGGGCCCCAAAAAGAAATATGCCAGATGTAGTTTTTTTTTTACAATGACCACAAGAAGCTGAAATACTGTACATCATTCCCTGATCATCAACCCACTGCCATATTAGTTGTAATTCAAACACACATGCACACACTTATGTGTTAATAACTTGAAAAAGCAAGATAAAATGTACATCAAAACTATGATGATGCTACTCAAAGACACAAAAACAATGCAAATCTCCGAGTACCAGTTTTCAAAACACTACCAACTCTTCAAGGTTGACAAATTTACAAGGTGTACATGGTGTGTTCATAGATTCAAAAGGGAAAATTACTAGTGTTCAAGGTATATAATAAATGAGTGAATGCCACATCCTCAGTTCTTTTGTAGTTTCTGCTGTGCTCCAGTGCAATATCAACCAGGCTGTGATGGATATGTGGGGTAGTGGGCCACCAGCAGCAGCAGCCTGGTTGACTGGGCAAGCACTAAATAAGCCTGGCCCATGGCTGGGCTCTCTAGGAGTGGGAAAACTCCCAGAACCCATCAAAGGTATATCAAAGGCAAGCTATTTGGAGGAATAAAACAAATAATCCGGCTATACAGTACTACAAAATATAAATATTACTACTGGATCATCAGAGAACAAAATATTCCAATGCCAACAAGGCAATTTGAAAAAATACAGTGGAACCTCGGTTTTCGTCCAGTCCGAATATCGTACAATTTGGATTTCAACCACTTTTTTCGGCGAATATCTACCCAAGGTTTCGTACATCCACTCGGAAATCGTCCATATCAGACACATCTGCCCGCCCAGGATACCGCCGCTCACAGTCTGCCTCTGTCACTTGTTCAGTCAGCAATACTCTGTGCGTTCATCCGAAACATTGGTGGTAGAGGGTGGTAGTGATGGTGGTAGAGGGTGGTTGTGGTTGTGATGGCAGTAGAGGGTGGTAGTGATAGTGGAAGAGGGTGGTTGTGGTTGTGATGGCAGTAGAGGGTGGTAGTGATGGTGGCAGAGGGTGATTGTGGTTGTGATGGTGGTAGAGGGTGGCAGTGTGGTGGTAGGGGGGGATGTGGTTGTGATGGTGGTAGAGGGGGGTTGTGGTTGTGATGGTGGTAGAGGGGGGTTGTGGTTGTTATTGTGATGGTGGTAGAGGGTGGTAGTGATGGCAAACAATTGAAGATGTTGAGTTGTTGTTGTTGGTGTGGATCAATGAAAAACAGTTAGGAGGAGGTAGTGTTGTGGAGGCGATAATTTGCAAAAAGGCAAGGCAGTTGCACACAGATCTCATAAAGAATATGCCAACAAGAGTCTTCAATAAAGGTAAAAGTGATTTATGTGTTCATTTATCCATTAAAATTAGTGCTTTATATTTATTTCTCACTGTTTTCTGTACATAAAACTATAGTTATTCTCTATAAAATGTATTTTTTGTTAATATTTTTGGGTGTCTGGAATAGATTAATTGGATTTACATTATTTCTTATGGGAAATATTACTTCAGTTTTTGTCCATTTCGGATTTTGACTGACCTGGAATGGATTAAGGACGAAAACCTGGGTTCCACTGTACGTATATATAAATTAGTCTAACCTGTGATACCTGTGACTGGGTATTGACTTTTTGTTATTTTTTACCCTTAGAGCCTTGCCTGGGGCCAGGCTTTAATGCTGATTGCCTGAATAACTAGGCTGTTGCTGCTGATGGCCCCTTGGCTCACACATTCTTCACAGCTTGGTTGATTTGGTACTTGGCAGAAGCAACTCTGTTTCATCTTGAAAATTTCTACATATCTTCCAGCAAAATTTCTGATATCTGCTGGTAGCAGGTTTTATAGTTTTGGGTCACAAATGTTGACACAGCATTCTCTTACTGTGCCCATGACGATCCTGCTTTTACTAGATCTATTTTACTCTTTCTTCCATAATTCTCACTCCAGTACATAATGGTCACGTGTAGATTTTCATATGCTGTATATGTTATCAGAGACAGTATCTCTGCTTTGCTTCAGAAAGTACATTCCAAGCATGAGGCATTCCCAGTAGTTATAATGCTCTCTTGGCTCTGCGTGCAGTAAATGATGTGTAAATTTTCCAGCTCTGATATCTCTCCTGCCTTGAATGAAGCTATCAATGCTGAACAATATTCTAAACAAATGAACACAAGTGATTTGAAGTGTCAACAGTGAAATTTTTCTCATCTTGAAAGTTTTCATTACCTACCCTGTCATTTTCCTGGATTTTGTGACATTTGCCTTATTATTTTTTTTAACACATCGGCCATTTCTCACCAAGGCAGGGTGGCCCAAAAAAATAAAAAAACTTTCATCATCATTCACTCTAGCATTCTCTTGCCAGAGGTATGCTTACACTACAGTTATAAAACATTAACACCCCTTACTGTGCCTCATTGTACTCTTTAAATAATAGGTCACCTGCCATTATTATATATGTTCTTTTTGTATCCAGTGCTCATTCTGGGTTCATTTCTACGATATCCAAGCATTTGTAATTTGTTGTCAGTGAACATCATGTTATTTTCTATTACCCAATGGAAGACTATGCTGATATCTGCTTGCAAATTTTGTGTATCCTCTACAAAGGTGATCTTCATCCTTATTGTGGTATCATTCACAAAGGATGAGAGACAGCTGTAGCTAATGTTTTTGTTTATGTTTGCTATGAAGATGAGAAACAGTAAGGGCACTGGGATCATGCCATGGAATACTAAACTTTTTAGTTAACTAAGGCTAAATTTTGCTTTGTTTACTACCATTCCTTGTGTTCTATTCAATAGAAAGTGAATATCTATCTTCCTACTTTTCCCATTGCACTTTCCTTATTTTTGGGGGCTATCACTCCATGGTTACATTTGTCAACTAGTTCCATGAGTCAAGCCCTAATCTGGAAATTTGTATTTATGCAAGATGTAGGAGGCACTGCACAGCAGAAAAGAAAAGGCACCAAATTCAAATAATGAAGAAAAATGAAGACATGAATAATATGAGAGCTATGAAGCTCAAGTTACCAAACTTTGTTATAGGCTCTCAGCCTAATTTGCAGACGTAGAAGACAATATCTACACATTCCCACAGACAAAACATTAAGAAATTAGATTCATTCACTAGCCCATATTTTGGGGGTGGTGGAGCAATGCTTTATACAATTTGGCTGGAAAACATTAGGACATGTTTCCATAAGACACCTGCTGTCCATGTTCACCCATCAGTATAAATTAGGTACCTGGGTGTTAGTCGACTGGTGTGGGTCACATCCTGGGACAAAACTGACCTAATTTGCCCGAAATGCTCAGCATAACAAGCAGCTCTCTATATAGTAGTATGTCATTGATGTCAGCTAGGACTGTATACCATGTACATGTACTTGTAGAAATAGATATTATTATTATTATTATTATTATTATTCTGTAAAATCCTCTATATTCTCTCTTAACTTTTTTACCTTCTTGCAGGCTTTCTCAGCAATTTAAATCGGGAGAGAGTAGATAAGAAATCAATGAGCTAACAATTAAGACTGATGAACTAAAAAATCATCTAGAAAAACTAATTATAGAAGTTGGAGGTTGAAAGAAAATATAACAAAGGAACTGGAACAAAATGTAGCACAACAAAAAATGATAAAGCAAACAACAGTAATTTGGAGAAGGGAAGTACATGGATTCATACAAAACAAAGATGGATAAAAAGTAAGCAAATGAGGCCAAGTAATGCAAAAAAATTTAACAAAAATACCTCAATAACCCCTCTTCAGCCCTCTATGTTTTTTTTTTATTAACTCACTGGCCGTTTCCCACCAAGGTAGGGTGGCCCAAAAAATAAAAACTTTCCCCATCATTCACTCCATTACTGTCTTGCCAGAGGTGTGCTTACACTGTATACAGTTATAAAACTGCAACATTAACACCCCATCTTCAGAGTGCAGGCACCGTACTTCCCATCTCTAGGACTCAAGTCCAGCCTGCCGGTTTCCCTGAATCCATTCATTAATACATGTATTACCCTGCTTACACTCCAACAGCAAGTCCCTGAATCCATTCATTAATATTACCCTGCTTACACTCCAACAGCAAGTCAAGTCCTAAAAACCACTTGTCTCCATTTGCTCCAAATAAACTCACACGTGCTTGCTGGAAGTCCAAGCCCCTCGCACACAAAACCTCCATTACCCCTCCCTCCAACCTCAACCTAGGAAAAACAGATAAGCAAATGGAAGCACTGGACACCAAGGCAAGCAAGCATTAAGACTGAAACATCAATTGCAAAAGATCACAAGCTTCTGATGGAAACTACTGACAAAACAAGACTTGTTATTTTTGTTGAGTCGGGATGCAGAAAGAAGAAAAAATAAAGTGGAATAAATACAAATGTAAGTGAAAGCTATAATTCAAGGGAAGAAAGAATACAAAAAATGGAGATGAAGATAAGAGAAATAAACTATAATGAAAATGAGACCATTAGTTGTGATGAGTAGGTAGCCAAAGTCAGATTTTCAATTACAGCACAGAGGTAAACAGAGTTTCTGTTATCACATATCACTTATTTGTAATTACCTTTGAGTTTGCAGAAATAAGAGAGGGTGAGTACTAGCTAG